GTGTTGTGTGTGTATATGTGTGTGTTGAGGGGACTCACGTGCACTGCCGTGTTGTGTGTGTATGTGTGTGTTGAGGGGACACTCACGTGCACTGCCCTGTACGTGCTTGTGTGTTGTGGACAAGTCAGCCATCATCCTGCTGCAGCTGCTTGTCTTTCCTGCCCTGACAGTTTGTTTCCTACATCAGCCCAGGATTGGAGGAGGGGGTGCTGTGAACACCAGGTCATATTCTGTTTAAGAATCTCAGGGCTTGCTGGAGGGGGGGGGGTCGTTGTCTTCCTTGAGGTTAAGGCCCAGGACACCCGAGAGTTAACGTTCCTCTACTACACACTTGGGCTCATCTTCTCTAGTCCCACTGGGCCCCCACTTTCCCCGCCCCCACCCCCACCTGCGACACGGACTTCTATCTACCCAAAGGCTTCTGCACAAGCCGCTTCCCCTTCCTTTGGAGATCACCCCCCCCAAAATAAACAGTTGGTTTTTGTTTGTTTGATGGCTTTTGAGAAAAGATCTCGTGCAGCTCAGGCCGACTTTGAACTCCATTATATAGGCAAGGATGGACTTAAATTCCTGAGATCATGCCAGGCTTCTAAACCTCTTCTAAAATAATGAGCCCAGGGCAGTGGTCACCAGCTCAGGCGCTAAGAGTGTTTGCTGCTCTTTCTGAGGCCCTGAGTTAGGCTCCCAGCACCTGGCCCACCAGCTCTGGGGGACCTGCCACTCTCTTTGGGCCTCTGAAGACAGCCCCTTGCCTCAGACACATAAATGTAAAAAAAGAATCTTTTTAAAAAGACACTGACTCCCTTATCTCCATGGAAACCACCATCCTACCCCAATTCTTTGCACTTACTCTCTTCTAAGCGCTTTATTTTCTGCACAGTGGCTCACCAGGCATGGGGACACACACCTTTGATCCCAGCACTTGGGAGGCACAGGTGGGTCTCTGAATTTGAGGCCAGCTTGATCTATACAGTGAATTCCAGGACAGCCAGAGCTGTGTATAGGCCCTGCCTCAACAACAAAAGACGTGCAGTGAACATGCTTTAACCCGGCACTCAGGAGGCAAGGCAGCCCCATGACTATGAGGTCAACCTGGTCTACAGAGTAAATTCCAAGTCAGGCAGAGATATACTGTCAGATCCTGTCTCAAAACATAACAAGCAAACAACAGGTAATACAGAACTCAATATTTTTTTCTTTTTATGTGCATTGGTGTTTTACCTACATGTATGACTGCGTAAGGGTGTTAGATCTTGGAGTCACAGTTGTGAGCTGCCATGTGGGTGCTGGGAATTGAACCCAGGTCTCCAGGAAGAGCAGCAACCTCTTAACCACTGAGCCATTTCTCTAGCACCCCTCCCCCCTTTTCTTGTTTGTTTTTTCAAGACAGGATTTTTCTGTGTTGCCCAGGCTGTCCTGGAACTCATTCTGGAGACCAGGTTGGCCTCGAACTCCCTCCTGAGTGCTAGGATTAAAGCCATGCACCGCTACTGCCTGGCTTTAAGGTTTTCATGAGCACTGGTGAGTGCATGTACTTATTGCACACCATGTGTGGACTTGGTGCCTGCAAAGGTCAGTAGGCAGCAACCCATCTCCTGAAACTGGTGTACAGATGGCTGTGAGCTGCCAGGTGAGTGCTGGGATCAACGCCAGGTTCTTCGGAGGAGCAGGCCTCTCACCAGTTGAGCTATCATTCCACCCCAAGAGTATGTTCGGAAGATTTCTATGTGTGTGTGCCTACATGTTTATGTGTGTATGACTCACCTGTGAAGGTACCAGCAAAGGGAAGATGAGGGCATTGGATCCCCTAGAACTGGAATAGGCAGTTGTTGAGTATTGAAAACCAAACCTGGGCCCTTTGCAGGAGCAGTAAGCAGTACCACTTAACTGCCAAGCCCTCTCTCTAGTCCAGAGAGTACTTTGTTGTTTTCTGAAGCCGAGTTTCTCTGTGTAACAGCCCTGACCTTGAACTCACTGAGATGCTCCTGCCTCTGCCTCCCTCCCTCATGCTGGGATTAAAGGCCTGCGCCACTGCCACCACCACAAACCCCAGCTCCTAGACTACTTTTTAAAGGCAAGAGCTGACTTGTGACAAAGATTTGATAAAGATCTGTGGAGAGGAACAATGTGTCCATAGTAACTTTCCTATCTTGGTGGTAGGACCTTGAGTAAGAGAATGTTCTCGTCTCCCAAAGTGGACGCGTGCTGAACAGAACTGAAGAAGAAATGAACTGGCCAAGTGCTGAAGAATGTAGAACACGGTGCTTTGTCTCATTTTGCAAGGCTGGGAACTGAACTCAGACCCTTGCCCATCCTGGACAAGCCAGGGAGCCGCACCCCACCTACATGCAGGTTTTACTTCTGGACTTATAGGAAGCTGTATGCTATGCAATCCCACCTTCCGGGGATTAATCTCTGGAGTGGCACACATGCCAATCAGCACAGACCTGCTATTAGCTAAACTGGTGGGACTCACCCTTCTCCCACGTGGTGGCTCTTCTTGGCTGCCAACTTGACTATGTCTGGGATTAATTAAAACTGAAGCAGCTTGGTACTACCATGTGGGATTTTCTTTTTTGCCTTTTTTTGTGTGTGTGTGTGTGTGTGTGTGCCTGCATTTTTTTGCAAGACAGAACTTTTGTTGTTTTTTTCAAGACAGGGGTTCTGTGTTTAACCTTGGGTGTCCTGAACTTGCTCTGTAGACCATACTGGCCTCAAACTCACAGAGATCCGCCTGCCTCTGCCTCCTGAGTGCTGGGATAAAATACGTGCACCACCACTGCTTGGCAAGACAGGATTTCCGTGTAGTCCTGGCTGTCCTAGACTGCTCTCTGTAGACTAGGCTGGCCTCAAAACCTCGAACTCACAGAGATGTGCCTGCCTCTGCCTCTGGAGTGTTGGGATTAAACGCATGCGCCACCACCACCCTCACTTATTTTTGGACAGGTTTCTTACTGAACCTCAAACTTGCTGCTTTAGCTGCAATGTCTGGCCAGTAAGCCCCATCCCCTCAGTCTCCATCCCCTCAGTGCTGGGGTCACAAGCCCAGGCCACCGCTGCACCTCCACTTTAAATGACTTTTATTTATGTGTATGTCCCAGGGTAGTGTCCAGAGGCATCAGATCCCTGGGAGGTAGAGTGACAAGAGTTGTGAGCTGCACAGCATGGTTCTGGAAACCCAGTTCCTGTCTTCCGCAAGAGCTCTTAGCCACTGAGCCCTGCCTGGGGTTGAATTCATCTTCATGCCTGCAGGGCCAGCACTTTACCAACCGGGCCCTGCGCTGTGGGTTATTTCAAGCAGGTCCAACAGATGCTCTCAGCTCATCTTATTCCTACTGCCCCAGTCTTGGAATCATGTTCCCTTCACTCCAACCCCATTGCTGAGGTCTGAGAAGTCTCATTACAGAGTCCAGGCTGGCCTTAACCTTGTAATCCCTCCTGCCCCCAGTTATAGGCATGACCCACCACTAGTGGCCAGAACCACTTTTGAAAGTTTCCCTTCAGATCTGAAACCATTTAAACATGAAGCATTTAAACAAATGAATCACTATACTTTCTGGATGCTAACTTAAATCTTAAACTCACAGGATGTAGGCCATATATACCAAAGTACAAACACAGATCCTTATTTTTATTTTTTTTATTATAGCACTGATGATAGCAGCAAGGAGAGGAAGAAGAAAGCGGAAACCTAAGTTCTTGGTAACGGCAGGCACACGCCTATGCAACCTTATGAAGCAACTGGGGGTATGGGCTGCTATATCCCGATTCCTGAGAATGCATTAGTGCGGCTCCAAGTCTCATTTCCCCAGCACCCAGAGGCTGAGGACATCTGCAATACCCTGAAGGTAAGGAGGTGGAGTGACATACCCCAGGCATGGACTCAGCTGGGAGGAATGAGGGATGAGCAGAAGGCAGGGCAAGTGTTCATGGTGCTATCACTGGAGACCCTGGGCCTGTGGGGCCTCATTTCTTCCTGATGTTCATGAACACACGCTGAGGGAGAACCAAACCTTGGGGAATGTCTAAGGCGGCTCCAATGAAATGGAGAGTGTTTATTAACTCTTTCCCCCAATCTCTGCAGCACAGGCACATGTAAGAATGTGTGTTCTATGGGGACAGTTGGCTGTGGGTCCCTCACGTGGAGCTGCTCAAAAGCCTGAGGTAGACAGGAATGCACCCCACTGGGAGATGAGTCACACAACGTGACAGAAGAAACTGTTCCATCTGTAACCGAGGGGCTGGAAAACGGGAATAAAAGGTGGTTTTCTTTTTCCTATGCTAGAGAGGGAACCTAGGGACTTCCAAATGCTAGACTCAAGCTCTAACAGCCCAGCTACCCATAGAACCACTGGAATGCACTTCTCTACTTATTAAGATGGGCCCACATCCACTACACATCTCTCTGCAGTTGGGACAAACGTTCGAACTGGCCTTGGCTTTCCCACTGCCCTTTCAAGCTCTCAGATTTCCATTCCTGCCATGCTCCTGCCTCTACTAAAATCTGGAATAAATTTGTCTGCACCAGACTCTGTGGCCTAGTACCTGTGTATGGGAGAGGGAGATGCCCCACGGAGTCCCAGACTCAGTATGGGGATTTCAATAAAGGGTGTTCAGTGGAGCTGCTAGGTGACCACAGTGCTGTCAGGACAGATTCCATGATGGCATTTGGGGACATCAGGGGTTTCTGGTTTCATAGAGAAATGTTCTAGGGTTTGGAGGTTCCTCCTACCTACCACACTGCACACAGGTGAGACACCAGCTGCCCCAAATCTGGCAGCTTCTAAGGGCCTGAACCCATCCCTACCCAGTCCAAACCACCCTATCGCCTTCCCTCAATAGTCCCCTACCCCCTGCAGCCTGGACCCGCCCATCCACTTCCCCAGCTCCACAGTTCCATGGGCCTCAGAACCAGACAGGCAGGTGACGGGTGGTGCCAGGTCCACTAGTACCACAGTACAGGAGTAGGGATTGGTTGGCTAAGGAAATGTGGACTGGGCCCTGGTCTGAAATGAGTGTCTTTATTGCTTGTACCGTACAAATATGAGGAGTAAGGAAAGGCCAGTAGGGATGGGAGAGAACTGTCAGATAAACATACACACATAAAAAGGAAAAAACAGACGACCCCATACCATCCCTGCCCACCCCCACCCTACTGCCTTTTTGTAACCACCTAGTCTGAGGGGGGAGGGGTGGGAAAGTAAAACCAGGAAAACTCAATTCCAAACACCCAGAGATATTGGGGATGGGGAAACATGGCCAGAGCAGCAGGTGGACCCCTTGCACCCGCTGTACCCCATGGGATCAAACACTCAGGCTGGGGTTGAGGCCTGAGCCCACTCACACATGTGCTGCATACAGCTGTGGGCACCTGCATCCCAGGAAACTGAGATGCTCACTGCTAGAGCAGGGTGCACACTGGCACCCACGACACTGACACAGACTCACTCACACATTCAATTTAAGGCTCCAGAACAGGGGCCCTGGAGATGAGGAGGCCCCCATCCCAATGTGTACCAGAGATACCTGTCCCCATCTCTGTCCCCTCTCAGACTTCAGTCAAGTCCAAGGGGCCCAATACTGTCTCGGTGTAAGACGTGTAACAGCCAAGGTTGGCTTCCCTCTGCCCCAGGCAGAAAATGAGCCATCCAAAGGGGATAGAGCCCAGTGGGAGGCAAGGCTGGCTAGAAGGAAGGCCTGGTAAGGCACGGAGCTGTAGGCAGGAGGGCTGGCCCCCAAATGTTCCTCCTGCTCTATCCAGAATCAAGAGAGCAACTTGGGAGAAAGAGGCAGGTTCAGGAGGCAGCTCCTGGTCCTGGTTCCCCCCACCAAGACCCAAGGACTTGGCTCCGTTTTCCATGGAGCCAAACCCAGATCCCTCGGCTTCCAAAGGCCTCTGCCTGTCCCTGGACATTATTGCTTTTTCTGCCCCAGGTGAGGTGGCAGCAGATAGACTACCCAGATGACAGCATAGAAGGAATCTGGGGTGCTGGGTGGGGCAGGTTTCATCCAGATGTGGCCTCTGATGGCTTGCCCACAAACCCAGGTGGCCCCATGGTTCCCCACTTCACCCTTCTGGAGGCTGTGGTGATACAACTTCTCTCCATCCTCCCGACAGCCCACCCTTGGGCAGGTCCCTAGCACTCATCTGGAAACAGAGGGAGACTGGAAGAAAGGGCTGCCAGGACCGCCAAGGTTGGGCAAGAACTGAAGTAGAAACTGGGTATGGAAGTGAGGGGAACAGAGAAGGGAACACAAACCAAAAGGCAAAAGAAAGTTTTCTTTAAAAAGCCACCCAGGCAGTGGACGGCGGCCATGCTTGTGTCCTGTGGTGGCAGAGGGCTGCTCACTCTCGGATGCTGGCCGAGTAGGAGAACTGGGGGAAGTGTGTCCGCTGGTCCAGTTCCAGCGAGCCCAGGCTGTCATCTGTGGGGTTGGGTGGAGATGCCGTGGAGATGAGGGGACAGCAGGCGTGCCCACCCCCACCCCACTGGGAAAGTGTGCCACAGAGAGAGGCGCTGGGATGACAGAAGCCTGAGCCAGCAGTGGTCCACAGCATAGCAGTGAAGGAAAGCAACTTGCTTCTAGAGAGAGGACTTAGCCTCCTCCCCAGGCTGGGTCTTCTGAATGTCCTCTCCCCTCCTCAGCCCTCTCCATCACCAGGGTCTAGCTCAGACTCGTCGCTGGCCTGTCCCTACCCATACTCACCTGCAGTTATGGGACTGTCAATAGCCCTGGCACAACGAACCCTTACACAGGTTCCAATGCCACAGGTCTCCACTTTCCCAGGTGACCCCAGAAGCTCCTACTTTAACCCCAGGTCCCCTCTGCCCACCTACAACCTGTCCTTTCACTCCAAGGTTCTCTCATGATTGATAGCCACAGGCCACTTCTGCCTGGAATGCATCTTGGCTGCCACACTGCCAGGCCAAGTTTCTCCTCAGCCTTCCTGGTTCTAGGAACCCAGGGAAGCCGAGAGCTCAGGGCTGTCCCAGGACTGAGTGCCCAGCCTTGGGGTGGCTACCAATCAAGAACACAGTCAGCAGAGTTCTCTAGCCCAAACCCCAGAATATACTGTAGGCATAGTTCCTGACGACCCTTACAGCAACAGCAGACTTTGCTAGCAGATCTTAGAGGAGACTGGCCAGATCCAATAAAGGCAGCCAATCAAGGTCCCCCTGGCAAGCAGGACCCAGGGCAGACCCCATCTCTCAGCCACCCAAGGGCAACGGGTCTCAGAAACTCACAGCGGTCCGGGGGTGTGATTGTGATGGACTGGGCGGTGAACTCATCATCGAAGTACCTTGTGTCCACTTCAGAAGTGACCTGAGGTTTAAAGGGTGGCAGGAGCTGTGGAGAGGAAGCTGGGTCAGCAATGACAGGTCACCTGTGAGCAGATAAGAGCCCTGGAGCAGGCGAGACCGCTCACCTTTCTCTGTACCACATCCTGCCAGTTGATGCTGAGGAAGAACCTGTGCTCCATGACCTCCTTCGCATCACTGGGCCCTCCGCCGAGCCTGGGCAGAGACAAACGTCACCAACATGGCAGGTTCTGGGAGCTAGGCTCAAACACAGGCAGATATGATCCAGAGTGCAGGGCCCCTGTGTAGCCTCTGACGATGCTGTCCTACACAAACCACCTTTCTGACAGGACCTAAGCTTGGAGAACTCATGCTTGGGCCAGAGGCAGGGAGAAGGCAATCTGGGCCTCATCTCTACCCATGAAGAGGTGGCAGGGTGGCAGGGCAGGCTTAGAAGGCAGACAACACACACACTGGCTCAACCATATATGGTCCCGTGACCTTAGGCTGCCCAAAAGAAGGTTGTATTCCTGTGCCCCCATATAAGAGGCAGGGAAGTGCAGGCAGACTGTGGAAATGCCTACTGTGGAGCCACTGGGGTTGTTCAGGGGACCACACACAGTCAGGCCACACCTCTGCTTAGGGTCCTTCTTCAGCAGTCCAGCCAACAGGGACTTGGCCTCTGGCCCAAGTGTTCGTGGGAAGCGGATCTCCTCCATGAGGATGAGCTCAAAGAGGCGCTCATGATCCTGGTTGTAGAAGGGTAGGCGGCCACACATCATCTCGTACATGACCACGCCCAGCCCCCACCAGTCCACCGCACGCCCGTAGTCATTGTCCTCCAGCACCTGGAGGAGCAATAAGAGGCTAGGCAGGGGAAGCTAGAGCGTCTCCACCCTCAGAACTCCCTCCGCCCTTGGCCTGCATGCTCCCATGCCCCCACGCCCAGACACCTCAGGCGCCAGGTACTCCGGGGTACCACAGAAGGTTTTCATGGTGGCCCCATCACTGATGCCCTCTTTGCACAAGCCAAAGTCAGTGATCTTGATGTGGCCATCTTTGTCCAGCATGAGGTTTTCCAGCTGTTTAAAAGAAGTCAATCTATGAGGGGTAGATCCTCCCAGGGTTTCCCTCTAGAGCAGCGCTTCTCAACCAGTGAGTCAAAACCCCTTTGCACAGGGGTCATCCAAGACCATCATAAAACAGATATTTATATCACGATTCATAACCATAGCAAAATTATACTTGTTAAGTAGCAACCAAAATAATATTATGGTTGGGGTCACTACATGAGGAACTGTATAAAAGGGTCACAGTATTAGGAAGGCTGAGAACCATGGTTTGAGAGATGGTGGTTTGGTATGGCAAGTTATCATACCAGAGGTTTCTGGAGGACAAGACAGCCATATAGCAATGCACTGTGGTTTCAGTTTCTTTTCTTTTAGGAACATAGTCTCCTGTGTAGCCCTGGCTGACCAGGAACTCTGTTAGGATTAAGGTATCTGCCACCATGCCTGGCCTGGTCTAAGTTTCTTAAGGTTCAATGTGAGGGGTACTATGTTCTTAGAAGTTGGTCATTTTCAGGGTCATTCTATAGCTCAAGCTAGTTGGCTCTTTTTCTTTTCTTCTTCTTCTTCTTTTTTTTTTTGTTTTGTTTTGTTTTGTTTTTCAAGACAGGGTTTCTCTGTGTAACAACCCTGGCTGTCCTGGAACTAGCTCTAGTAGATCTGGGTCTCACAGAGATCCGCCTATCTCTGCCTCCTGAGTGCTGGGATTAAAGGTGTGTGCCACCACTGTCTGGCCTCAAACTACCTTTTAATTCAAAGCAATCCCCCGCCTTAGCCTGAGTATTAAAATTACAGGCATGAGCCCAGATCACTGTTTTTAGTTATAAAGCACACAGCATCCATGACGCCTCTACAAGTCAGGCTCCAGCAGAACTATGGGAGCCCATTATGAAGCACTCTGCCGTTACTTGGTCTTCTCTGGGCTGTATGCTGTGCTGGCCTGTGCGCTGCACACCCCGCAGACACTACACCACCAAGCTTCATCCCAAGTCCAGCTGAGAAGGGTCCATGTCATCTGCTCCGGCCCCCTCAATGTTGGCCCATGGGATGCAGCCACATTTGCTGTGTGGCTTGCTCTGCTACATAGTTTCCCCTGGAAAATGCCACAGCACGTGGTGCCCACTTTCTGGTAGCAGGTGCTGTGGGCAGCATGGCGTGTGCTCTAAGTGTGCGCACACCTTCCCCAGTGAAGACATGTCCCAGTTTCTGGTGTGCACAAGGCAAGCAGATGGCTGGCAAGTAGTTCTGGTGTCACCGCCAAGTTACGCTCTGGATGCTGCCAACCTACAACCCCATCAGCAGCCTGCGGTGCTCACAGGTCTTCACCATAGAATGGGCCAGCCTGGACCTTCTGTGCACCCCCACCCGACACTTGTCCCAGGCCATTGTCTACTGACCTTGATGTCACGATATACCACATCTCTCGAATGCAAGTACTCAAGAGCTGACACGATCTCCGCACCATAAAATCGGGCCCGATCCTCCGTGAAGACTCGCTCCCGAGAGAGATGGAAGAACAGCTGCAGGAGCAGGCAAGGCCTCAGCACTGGCTCCCCAAGTCCTGGTCCCCCAGCCCCATGGCGTGCCCCAGAAAAGACAGGCTTCAGCAAGAAGGACCAAGGAAAGAACAGTGCGTGAAGAAAATTTGAGACAAGGATGAAGGATACAGACCAGTATGGTGATGCTCGCCCACAGTCTCAGCACAGGGAGGCTGAAGCAGCTAAGTAGAAATTCAAGGCCAGCCTTGGCTACAGGGTGAGTTTGAGCCTATCCTGGGTTACACAAGATTCTATTTGAATGAATGAATGAGTGAAGAATGAGGCTGGTGTGGATCTGTAATCCCAGTATTTAGGAGGCAGAAGGCAGAGAATCAAGAATTCAAGGTCAGCCTTAGCTACAGAATGTGACTGAGTGTGAAATCAGCCTGGGTTATCTGAATGAGATTTTGCCAATAAATAAGCAAATGAACACATTAATTAGCAGCCAGACCGGTAAGTGCCGATGCAAGAGTAGGTAGGTAGAGACAGTATGAGGGCACAAGGGATGGAGGGGTGACAAAAGTGATGGCGGGGCGACCAGCCAACCAGTGACTGATCTGCTGAGCAAGGCAGCGGGGCAGTCAGTAGAAGCCATGTCTATCTAGGGCACTACTGAGACTGAGTGGTGCATGGGCGACAGACACAGGCACAGAGGCATGGTAGAGACTCAGGACTCGGGGCTAGGGCCTGGAGCCTATGTGCTTTCTCAGGTGTCCCCAAGAAAATCTTTCCTTGCACTGGCAGTGCACCCCACAGCTCCTGCACCTGGCTTTGAATCCCGCCCAGCAGCATGGCAGCAATGTGAACTTGAGTGAGTCACCCAGTAACCCGCCCCAAGCCTGCCCACCTCGGAAGTGCATCTTGTACCACCTGCTCCAGGGAGAACAGGGTAGAATGTGCTAAAGTCAATAACCCCCCCCCCCCGAACGTGCTAACAGTCAATAAATCTCTCTCTCTCTCTCTCTCTCTCTCTCTCTCTCTCTCTCTCTCTCTCTCTCTCACACACACACACACACACACACACACACACACACACACACGCATATGCCCGCGTGCACCCCATCTCACCCAGGTCTTCTTTGCTTCCCTCACCACCACCAAAAAGTGGCCAGATGGCAGAGCTCACCTCACCCCCGTTGGCATACTCCATCACGAAGCACAGGCGGTCATGGGTCTGGAAGGCATACTTCAGGGCCTGTGAAGGGAACCAGAATGCTGGGACAGAAAGAAAGCCCAGCCAGCTGGAGAGCAGGAACCCGAACTGGCACACTATGCCCTGCTTGGGTCACAGGGGTTCAAATGCCAGGCATGTTCATGGGAGAAAAATATGGTCTGACTCTCCAGAGCTGTCTCACTGGCACCCTCCTTGCTGAGTAGTAAGACACACACAGAGCTGTGCTCCCTCGCACAGGAACCCCTGAGTGACACTGGACTGGGCGCTGACTCTAAAGGCAAGACAGACGGGCTGTCAGTGCACAGCTGTCCTCATACTGTATCCTAAGAAGCCCTCCAGAGGATTCCTCACCAACCCTCGCCAATCCCTCTGCTCACAAAACCCATAAACTATGTGGTTCTGTCTTCCACATTGAGGTATCTGATAAAATCTCATATGAACAAGCACTGTGCCTTCCTAGGGCAGCATGCTTAACCTAGTCCCCTAAACTGACAGGGACGTCACAGAGACCTTGGCCCACAGCAGGAGTCAACAGGCACACCATGACAGCATGTTTCTGTCTATGGTACCTTAAAACCAAAAGGCAACCTTCCCACTTTGGCCAGCTGGGTTGGGCGCACCTCAGTCCCAAACATGGCTGCCATGCAACTCTCCCCCAGGGGCCTGGTGTTCAAGCAGCCTGGAAGCCCAGTGATGCTTAGCCTGGCCTACCTGGCCTACACCGAAACAGGGCTTACAGTGGCGAGGCTTTAATTCTTTCCTAGAACTCTGCCCGAGGGTTGGCAGGGAGGGAACTCACAGTAAGGAAGGGATGCCTGGTGTTCTGCAGGACCCGGCTCTCAGTGACCGTGTGGGCAACTTCATCCTGTGAACAGACAGTGCAGCTGAGTGGCAGGGACACATGCCAACCTGCAGCCACCATGGAGCAACATCCAGGTGAAACTATGCCCACCCTGGGAAATCAGAGTGGCAGGGCAGAACAGGACTTCTCAGGCCTTGGCCAAAAGGCAGCCCAGATAAGGGAGGTCTCAGAGCAACAGTGAACAGCTGCTAAGACTCTACAATGGAGAGATGGGGCTAGCACCACCCGAGCCCGGGCCAGCCACTAGCATTCCACTGTAGCCCAAATCATCAAGGACCCAAGGGACCATGTGCTGGAGACTTGGTTCCCACCCACTGCACTCTTGGGAAGTGGAAGGCTATGAGGACATAGAGCCTAATGGGAGGAAACTAGGTCACTACAGGTATGTGTGTGTCTTGAACGTGCTATTGGGAACCCAGACCTCCTTCCCAGGCCCTCTGCCATGTGCTCCTATAATGACGGATAATGTCTCCACAGGCCTAAAGCCGCAGAATACTGCAGTCGGGAACTGAACAGTGTGAACAACCAGAACCTCTCCTCCTCACACACTGCCCACCTCAGCCTGCCAGTGACGCAGCACTGACATGTAGCCTGAAGGTGGCAACAGCAGACAGTATGCAATCTTGTCCTCACTTCCCAGGTGGGAGAGCACCTTTAGAGAAGGACTGGCTCTAGGTCTAAGCAGTACTTCTCAGGGTGAGGCCCGGCACCAGCAGCATCCACCTCCCAGGGAACTTGTAGAAACACAAACTCTCTGGGTCCACCTTGTCAGAAACTCAGGGTGGTCACATGGGAGGTGGGAAGGACATTGCCTCACAAGCTGAAGTTTGGTGTTTGCCCAAGGGCAGGACTGTAGGAGAGCTTCTTGACGCCTCCTTTTACTACTTCAACAACCTGGGCGAGGGCTTACACTCGGGAGATGCTGGGTATCAGATCACTTCTAATTATCACAAGTGGGAGGCTGCTGGTACCCTCTGTGTGCACAGCTGGGGATGCTAACCCTCCTATAACGAACAGAACAGCCCCACTCTGAAGAAGGATGAGGCCCACAATACAGTGCTGAAGCTGACAAGCCCTGCCCTGGATCAATTTTACCAAGAATCTGTAAGTAGTTTTGTTTCTTTTTGCAGAGGACCCAAATTCAATTCCCAAACACCCATGTTAGTTAATGGCCTACAACCCCAACTCCAGGAGACCTGACACAATCTTCAGGCTTTCACAGGCAACTGCGCTCATGTGCACTCTCCCCACAAATACATACAAGTAATCTTTAAATTTTTTTTTAATATATACACAGGAGAAATGATATGGCTAGAATATACCTGAAAATACTTAATACTCTAGACTCAAAAAAAAAAAAAGTGCTCGCTTCGGCAGCACATATACTAAAATTGGAATGATACAGAGAAGATTAGCATGGCCCCTGCGCAAGGATGACATGCAAATTCGTGAAGCGTTCCATATTTAGAAAGAAAGAAAGAAAGAAAGAAAGAAAGAAAGGAAGGAAGGAAGGAAGGAAGGAAGGAAGGAAGGAAGGAAGGAAGAGCGAGCTGAGGGTCTGCAAAGATGGCTCAGTGGTTAAAAATGTTTGCTTCCAGAGGACCCAGGTTCAATTCCTGGCACCCACGTGGCTGCTCACAACTTAACTCTGGTTCCAGGAAATCTAATGCCTTCTTTTTGCCTCCTTGGGCATTGCACATATGGTGTGCAGACACACATGCAGGCAGAACAACAACACAACTAAAAAAACAAAAACAAAAAAAAGAGGAAGGAAGGAGGAAGGAAGGAAGGAAGGAAGGAAGGAAGGAAGGAAGGAAGGAAGGAAGGAAAGAAAACAGCCTATAGAGGACAGGTGGCCCATGAACGTATAGACGGCAATAGAGAAGCAGAACTGTGAAGAACACAGGCTTGTCTCAATGGGAGGGAATGGATGTATTAGTCTGCTAATCTGGAAAGTCAGGCCTCTCCCGAGCATGGTTCTCAGCCAATGTAATCTATTCACTGTTACAAAGAGGACTGTGTACTCAGGAGCAGTAAAGCTTATCACAAACCCTTCCTTCCACTGGCACTGGTGGTCACTCCGGAGGCAGGGACAGGCGCATCCTTAAATGCAAGGCCAGCCTGGTCTACTGAGTGAGTTCTAGGACAGCCAGGGCTACACAGAGATCCTGAGTCAAACAAAACAAAACAAAGAAAATGAAAAATCCCTCCTCCCTAGAACCTTATCCTGAGCACTGCTTCTCAAGCCACTCTTGTGGGCAAGGACAAAGGTGCTCTGCAGAAGGCGCGTACTAGAAAAGGAGTTTTGATGTAGCCACCTCTTCAGTTTTGCTGTGTTAACTGTCACAAGGATACCCTTTCTCAAAGTTGCACTGTGTTTAAATTTGTCAAAAATAAACCAGGGTCATACTCCCCAAGTCTGAGCCAGCCAGGCTAACTAAGTTGTGCTGAATCAGGTTTCCTTCTCCCTGCTGGCCGCAGCACTTGCAGGGATCCCCACAGAAAGCGAGAGCAGAGTCAATGAAACGAGGCTCAATACTGGTAACTGTTAACAATCACAGTCTAATTGTGTTTATTTTTCCTTAGAAGTCTCACCCAAGCATGGTGACTCACGCCTTTAACTTGAGCCCTTGAGAGGCAGAGGCAGATTTCTGAGTTTGAAGTCAGCCTGGTCTACAGAGAGTTCCAGGACAGCCAAGTGTATGTGAATTTGGAATCTTCTATTATAAAAACTTTAAATAAGGTTAAAAAACAACAAGAGGGGCTGGAGAGATGGCTCAGAGGTTAAGAGCACTGGCTGTTCTTCCAGAGGTCCTGAGTTCAATTCCCAGCAACCACATGGTGGCTCACATCCATCTGTAATGAGGTCTGGTGCCCTCTCCTAGTGTGTGGGTATACATGTAGGCAGCACACAGTATACACAATAAATAAATCTTCAAAACAAACAAACAAAACCAAGAGAACTGTTTTGGCTGGGATCAAATCCAGGAACTTGCACTAGTCGAGCAAGTTCCTGCCTGCTGAGCTCTCTCCCTATCAGACTTCCTAACAGCACCTGCTGAGTGCAGCTCAGGTCTTCTGGGGCTCAGGCTTTTCTCCTCAGACAGTGATCCCATGAGCTTGGGACAGAATGTGTGGGAAAAAATAAGGACACAGCATCAGATGGCAGGGGCAAATGTCCCAACCCTGAAAGAGCTACCAAGTATGGTCCAGCACCAGACAGTAGCTCCTGAGGACACTGGGGTGTGGTTCAGTGGCACAGAGCTTGCAGGGGTAACTAGAAGACCCCGGGCTCCATTCTCAGCATTCTTCCTCACTCCTAAAAAGGATGGCTCTTGTCATCTAAGGTACTCATTCTGGAATGGGGCCTTGCTTATGTCTGTCACATGCCCCACTGCTGAGCTTCCCATCCATTACAGGCCACTGTTATGAACCAAGCACTAGGGCCCAGCAGAAGCAGCTGGATGGGCAGAGATCAGTTTTCCTGAAAACAGGAGGCTGCATGGTAAGAAAGTTTCCTCTGCCTTTTAGTCCCAATAAAAGCTAGCCCGAGATTACCTAATGTTAACCATTAAGCTTTCCCTTTACGTTCTGTTTCCTTGCTGCTGTGCCGTCTGAACTGTTCTGTCCTGACCTGGAAGGAGCATTCTTTACAGAACTGAGGCTGCCCTACTTCACAAACCACAACTAAAGCCATCAGGTCTAACCTAAAGTTACTACAGTGCTAGTTTTGGACACTCCTGCTCAAGTCTCCCCCACTCCCGGCCTCAGTGGCCCACCTTGGCAATGATGACTTCCTTCCTCAGGATCTTCATGGCATAATAGCGGCCAGTGGCCTTCTCCCGCACTAGGATGACTTTGCCAAAGGTGCCTTTACCAAGAAGTTTGAGATAATCGAAGTCGTTCATGGTCTGTGGGTAGGGAGAACACACAGCCTTTGGTGTTTGGCATTTGGCCCATGTGATGACAATTTAACAAGGAAGAGGACACTCAAAAGACACTATGGCTCAAGGGCTTCATGGGGGACCGGGGTAGAGGAAGTAGATGGCAACTCTTGTGTGCTGGAGCTGCAGGCAGGCCTAGGCTTTCCCAGCATGAGCCTTCAACCTCCCCAACAGATTCAGAGCAGTTTGCCCTGGCACTGTCTCTCACCCCATGAGCACAGAGCTGACACGAAACAACATCCATAACCAGAAGTCACCCTACACAAGGAAGTCATGAAGACCCTTGCTGCCCCCCTGTATATTGTGTGGAAACCCAGGCAAGCAGGTTTGCTGCAGCCCCAGCCCCTAGCCACCTGCCACCAACACTTACCACTTTGGCCCGTGCCTTGTTGACAGCCACCTCCATCATCTCAGACGTGGAAGAGTCACTGGGGGAGCCACACTTGTACTCCATGGCATCCTCACCTGGGACCCGCTGCTTCAGACTGTTGGCGACCATCTGGATGGCCCGCATCCACTCTTCCCTGTATGAGACACAACACAAGTTCTGAGAATTCCTCCATGCCCAGCCACAGCCAACTGCCCACAAACGGCAAGCCCATGGCCAAGCCCCTTCCAGCACTTGCTGAGATCCAAAGCTGGCAAAACTGAGTCATGCAGGCTCAGGCTGCAGAGAGTGCAGCAGAGACATAAAGACAGAGCTGCCACCTTCTGAGATGCACTACAGGGAGGAACCTTGAAGTCAGGGAATGTGGAGATGATCAAAGGAAGGATAATACTTTGTGTGAGGCTCTTGAGACTAAGAAGTCACACTGAGCCTTGGGAGAGACAACCAGCGCTCTCTTGAACTACTTCAGAGCAAGTGAGAAGCTCAGGCTTCCAAACTACTAGTGTTTTGTGCAAAGAAAGCAGAAAGAAAAGGAAACCTCAAGAGCCAGAGCAGCCACAGATCTTATGAAGCAAGAGCTGGCCAGCGGGACCCCAAGGTGCCCAGTCAGTCAGGCACAAGGAAGAAAAACTGTTGGAACGGAGGTCAGTCCCAGTAGAGGGGCTGACTGGAGGATAGTAAGCTGGTGCTGGCACTCCTGAGCTAGAAGGTGTCTTAATCTTTGCAAAGCATTCTGTCTGTGAGGTGGTGCAAATGACCAGAGGTTGCACACAGACATATGGCTGCAAAACACTCGGTTGTCCACATCCTTCATTTTTGACCTAGCAACACAGCAACTGTAGGGGGCCTGAACCTCTGTGTAGTTTGCTTGTGTCTAGAAAAGGGCCTGAGAATGGTGGGAAACAGCAGCATGTCTTTCCGAAGGTAGCATCTTAGTAACAACAGAGCAAGGCATCAGTGCCTTCGGACTGTTGGGGGCACAGAAAAGGCTTGAGTGTGTATGTGATGATACACTCTGCAGCTCAAAGGCTGACACAAGTCTACACAGACTTGGGATGACTTAAAACACTTAAAGGAAGGAGACAGTGCACAGCAGTCTGGAGGTCTGTGCTCAGACTCAGACATGCTCTCCTCACATGGGGCTCAGAAGGCACAAACATTCCTTTGCAACAGTTGAGGGTGGGGGGTGACTCAGGAGTCCTGGTTGTCCCCAGGAAGGGTTATTAGAAAGCAAGGGATCAGAGAAGCCTCTAACAAATGCAGAACACCTACCTCTCCCCACATCACAAAAGAGAAAACTCAGACTCAGGGAATGTGGTTCAGTGGCAGAGTACTTGTCCATGCTCAAGGCATGGGCTCCTTCCTAGTACAAACAACAAAACCAGACCCCTCCCCCCCCCAAAAAAAAAACCCTCAGCAAGAGGGCTCCAAGCCTGATCACTGGGCTCTCAGATGACCTGTGGCCTTCCCCAGGGCCAGCGGGCAAAGGAGCTCCTGCTCAGCTCCAGCCCTGCTGAAGCAAGCAGAAACAAAGCTGAGAAGTTCCTGTTACCATCTGGAGGGATCTGCCTTCCCAGCTGGCCTTTTACCTGTGAGGTTACGCTCCGTGAGAGATGTGTGGGCTGCACACCATGCTCTGTGGGGCCGGTGCATGGACAATGCTGGTGTACTGTTCCCCCTACCTAAGAGACTGGAGGCCCCCAAACCCCACAAGGCAGGATCTGACATCTGCTCTTTGTTTTTTTTTTTTTTTTTTTTTTTTTTTTTTTGAGACGGTGTCTTGCTATGGAGCCTAGAACTTTTTGTTTGTTTGTTTGTTTGTTCTTTTAAGACATGGTTTCTCTACGTAGCCCTGGCTGTCCTGAAACTCGCTCTTTAGATCAGGCTGGCCTCAAACTCACAGGGATCTGCCTGCCTCTGCCTCCCAAGTGCCAGTATTAAAGATATGCACTACTAACACCCGACTGGGCCTAGACCTTTTAAGTATCTGACCTGAGCCCTTCCAGTACTGAGATAGATAGACATGCACCACCATGCCCAACTGTTTCCCATTTTCAATGGAGCATGCTTCTAGCAACTTCTAGAAGTTGGGTACTTGGTAGGTATAAAAGATCCAGGTGGCCACAAGTTCCCATTGCCCTAGAACCTTTATACAGTGAGGTCAGAGCGCACAGTGAGGTCAGTGAGGCCAGCGTGCACGGTGAGGTCGCCGCACACGGTAAGGCAGAGCACACGGTGAGGTCACCACACACAGTGAGGCAGCGCACACAGCCAGGCCAGTGCGCACCCAGGCAGGTAGTACTAGTCTCTTCCCTCTGAGTTGATCCTCCAATCAGCATTTCTCAATCGGTTTTAACCTGTGTACCCCTTGGACAAGTCACAGTCTAAAACCCAATCTCTATATCAATATTCTTGTTTTCTGAAACAGAGAGTGGGCGGGGGGAGGGGTGATGACATATGCCGTGATCTGCTTTAGATGACCACAGTTGTTCCCTTACATGTTTAAAATGCTGACTTTGACACTGGCAAGATGGTTCACAGGGTCAAGGCTCCTGCCATCAAGCTGACCACCTGACCTCAAACTAGGACTCACACAGTAGGAAAGAAGAGACCTATAAGCTGTCCTCTGATATCCATACACGTGATATGGTGTGTATGTGTAAATGGGATTGGTTGGTTTTTCCAGACAGGGTTGCTCTGAAACCTGTCCTTCGAATTTACTGTGTAGAACAAGTTGGCCTCGAACTCAGAGATCTGTCTACCTCTGCCTCCTGAGTGTTGGGATTAAAAGCGTGTACCACCACTGCCCAGCTTCATAAAAGGGATTTTTAAGATGTAGGTCTGTGTCAGGCAGTGGGCCATGCCTTTAACTCCAGCACTTGATCTCTGTGAGTTCAGGAGCTGGTGGTCTACAGTGCTAACTCCAGGACAACCAAGGCTTCACATGGTGAAGCCCTGTCTCAGAAAATCAAAACAAACAAATAAAAATGCTATGTGTGGATTTTCTTTTTTTGTTTTAATACAGGTTTCTCTGTGTAGTCCTGGTTGTCCTGAAACTCACTCTATAGTCTAGGCTGGTCTCAAACTCAGAGATCTGCCTGTCTCTGCCTTCTGAGTGCTTGGATTAAAGGCGTGCGCCACTACGCCTGGCTTTTTAAACACTATAACACTATTTAGTATTATGATGGTGGACTGGAAATCACGGACCTAAGAGGTATGGTTTCTTTCTTTTTTTTTTTTTTTTTCTTTTTTCTTTTTTTAAGACAAGGTTTCTCTGTAGCCTTAGAGCCTGTCCTGGAACTAGCTCTTGTAGACCAGGATGGCCTTGGACTCACAGAGATCCGCCTGCCTCTGCCTCCCAAGTGCTGGGATTAAAGGCTTGTGCCACCCCCACCGGGGTCTCTCATAGTCTTTCATACACACAGATTTGAGACTCCAGACTGCAGACTAAGATACACAGTACGGTTACTGCCTTTGTTGACAGGAAGAGAGCACAACTCAAGGGGCTGCTCCTTGTGAGACTGCAAATACAGAGTGCAGAGCTGCACCAGCCGGGACAAGGCTCTACTGTCCATGTTGAGCCCTTCCAGCTCACACTCCGCCTGCAGACAGTGCTGCTGAGCCGGCAGCTCCAGGTCAGAAGGTACTAGCCTCCTGGAAGGTGTGAAGACGCAGGGCAGGGCCTGAGCTAGACCATCCATCTGGCTGGAGCACAAGAGCATTTCCCAGGAGGCAGGTTGTGCTAACAGGCTCTCCCACCTCCTGACCAGCTACCAATTGGTTCCAACTGGGCCAAAGTTGCCAGGTTGCAGCACTCAGAATTCTAGAGAAAAAGTGAGGGCCTTAGTCCAGGACACTCCTCAAGGGTTTGCAACATGGTGTCTGGGGCAGAGGGATCTTCCACCCAAAGTTGGCACTCCAGTGCCTTCCCTTTCCCCAAAGAAGCTGAAGAAACCAAGGCCTTCCAGTCAAAAGACAGCACTCAAAAAATAGCAGCCGTCAATAGCAGTTCCATAGTCACAAGTCATGCCTGGCTAGTGGGTGTCACGCAGTCACTCCTCCCTGTGCCAGGGACCGGAGGTCTACCCAGAGAGAAGCTGATGACAGCCCAGGCTGCAATCCCTAGCTGGGGTCCAGGAGGATGAAAAAGGATAACGACACCATTCACAGAGTACTGGAGTAAAGCAAAGGACACTTCCCCTGGGTTCTAGAGCCAGGGAAGAACATCTGAGAAGCTATGCTTACTTAAGCATCACTGGCCAGACCCCAGGCCAGTACACAGGAGCCAGGCCTGGGACTCGTCCTGCTGCTTCCTAGCTATGTGGTCCTCAAATCTCACCTCCTCCCACCGTGACTGAGAACAGACTCAGTAACGTCGATCACAGCAGCCAGTACACTGCTGAACACTCCCATCCAGACCAGGGACCAACTCTGTAAAGGGGCAGGGCGTCTACTTTCAGGCTTTTCTAGCCTTGTGCTTAATCCACTCTGCAGTGTTGGAGCAAAAGCACCACAGACGAGTCAGACACAAGTGACTGGCCGCACTCCAATCTAATTTGATTTGCCATATCAGCAAACAGGGCTATAGCTGTCAACCCTACTGAAGCCATGACTTCTGGTTTATAGGCTAAACAGAGGCACAGGAGAACAGAGGAGGAAGAGCTATTCAGAACACGAGGTGGTCCACAAAGCATCTAGCTTGTCTTGTCAAGAATATCAATAACTCAAGGGGAAAAAAAGAAATACAAGAACTAGATTAGAGTAAGCCAAAGACACGGTATGCACCCAGAGAGAATCCAGGTTAAAAACAACACTGTCAGGTCTGAGCAGATGGTTTGGTGGGTGAAATACTTACTCTGTAAGCATAAGACCCTGAGGGAAGAGCCCTAGCACTGTCTGTAACCCAGGCCAAGGGAAGAGACAGGAGGAGCCTAGGGCTTGCTGGCTGGCTAGTCTAGAAGAATCAGCAAGCTCCAGGTTCAGTGAGAGATCTTGCTTTAGAAAGTAAAGTGGAGGGGCTGGAGAGATGGCTCAGAGGTTAAGAGCATTGCCTGCTCTTCCAAAGGTCCTGAGTTCAATTCCCAGCAACCACATGGTGGCTCACAACCATCTGTAATGAGGTCTGGTGCCCTCTTCTGGCCTGCAGGCATACACACAGACAGAACATTGTATACATAATGAATGAATGAATGAATGAATGAATGAAACTAAAGTGGAGAACAACAGAGGTGGGCACTCTACATCAGAGTGTATACTTATATGCATGCCTGCGTGCCCTGGAACACACACTAAAAAAACTCAAGCACACACAGATATGCAGAGGGTCAGCACATATACATTACAAGTTAAGTATCTGTAGAAGTTTGAATGTAATTGGACCCATAAGCTCAGAGGGAGTGGCACTATTGGCTGTGTGGCCATGCTGAAGAGTGTCACTGTGGGCGTAGGCTTTGAAGTCTCTTTGGCTTAAGCTTCACTCAGTGACATAGACCATTTCCTGTTGCCTGCAAGATATAGGACTCTCAGTCTAACTCCTGTTGCCTTCTGATCAAGATGCAGCCAGCACCATGTCTGCTTGCATGCTGCCAAGTTCCCCACCCTGATGACAATGGAATGAACCTCTGAACTGTAAGCAAACCATCTCAATTAAATGTTTTATTAAATGTTTTCCTTATCAGAGTTGCCATGTTCATGGTGTCTCTTCATAGCAATAGAAACCCTAACTAAGGCAATATCCTTATCAAAAATGGTTGGGACCAGAATGCATCTATCTTGGAGTTCCTTGGATTCTGGATTCACGTAGATGGTACTGTCTGGTCAAGCCTCCCCTACTGCAGAAACAGCCACTGTCCTCTCTGTGTAAAGGAGCCCATTAGCCTCCAATCAGCCTGGGTGACTTAATCTTATTCTATATGTGGGGAGAATAAGGAACACAGAGGTTGTTCCAAAATCTGGAACATCTGAGCATCATGAGGACACAGAGTTCTAACTTTTGGAGCTCTCTGGATTTCAGATTAGGGTGCTCATCCTGAACCCCTCCAGTATGACAGTGGCATCCTGGGTATGTAAGAGAAGCACTCAGCATAGGGCTGAGTGAAGAGTAAATCACCAGTAAGTATGAGCAGAAATTCAAGACCTGGCTTTAAATAATACAAAAAGGCAGGGAGGCAGCTCAGCAGGTGAAGGCACTTGCCTTTAGATCTGATGACCTGGGTTCAATCCATGGAACCTGCATGGTGGAAAAAGAGAGCCAGCTCCCGCAGGATAACCCCTGCCTTCCACATGCACATGTATTCATTCTCAGTCTCAGGGCTTCCCTCCACAGTGCTCACTCTCCTAACCCTGCTATGTCAGCAATGCGCGCTCTCTCTCTCTCTCTCTCTCTCTCTCTCTCTCTCTCTCTCTCTCTCTCTCTCTCTCTCTCTCTCTC